GAATACGTTGAGCGAGGAAAGATGAAGGTGCCATGGCACCAAACCCCGAAAAACCCGAAGAGAAAGTGGGTGACGCAACAACTGACGCAAGGACATAAGGGAACGAACCCATCGGTTGCGAGAGCGGTGAAAGAGGCCGCCCCGAGGATACCAGAACAGCCTTAGAACCCAAACCCTGCCCAGTGGATAAACCAACAGGGCAAAGTTCAGGCTCCTGCATAGCTGCTCAAGCAACCACTGAGTGACCCTTTTCCTTCACAAACAGCTGAAGAGGGAACTGCAACCGGAGCAGAGCTGCAGGGGAGAGAGAAATGGATACAGTCTGAGAATTCCACATATAGGCTTAGCCATATATGAACCTGGTACGGAACCAATTGGGACTTCCGCCAACTTACCAGGAACCCGAACCTGGTAAAGCTGGGAAAAAAACCAGATCCCTGGCTAGCAGACAAGCAGACTGGTTGGGAGCCCACACCAACCAGTCGTCGAGGTAGGCCAACACCTGAAGACCTAGCAGACGCAGATAGGTGTCTGCCATCATGATCTGAGTTAAATGCAAGAAAATGCGAGGTGCCAGATTCAAGTCGAATGGAAGACCAATCCCAGAACCTCTGATGTATCAGGACGTGCCAATGCCATCTCTGAGGTCCAGGCTCCTGCATAGCTGCTCAAGCAACCACTGAGTGACCCTTTTCCTTCACAAACAGCTGAAGAGGGAACTGCAACCGGAGCAGAGCTGCAGGGGAGAGAGAAATGGATACAGTCTGAGAATTCCACATATAGGCTTAGCCATATATGAACCTGGTACGGAACCAATTGGGACTTCCGCCAACTTACCAGGAACCCGAACCTGGTAAAGCTGGGAAAAAAACCAGATCCCTGGCTAGCAGACAAGCAGACTGGTTGGGAGCCCACACCAACCAGTCGTCGAGGTAGGCCAACACCTGAAGACCTAGCAGACGCAGATAGGTGTCTGCCATCATGATCTGAGTTAAATGCAAGAAAATGCGAGGTGCCAGATTCAGGTCGAATGGAAGACCAATCCCAGAACCTCTGATGTATCAGGACGTGCCAATACCATCTCTGAGGTCCAGGGGAAATCATCCAAGTGCCTAGCTCAAGAACCTGGGGGACAACGTGGACATCCTAAAAGAGGGGCAAGGAATCAACTGGTTCAGATAATACAAGTCCAGAATGTATCAGAGATCAGCGCAGTCCTGTATCAGAACTGGAAACAAGCATGAAACCCACTTCAGAGATGAGGTCATTTTGACCATGCCCAAGTGAAGCCACTCCGAGATGACCCGACAGAGGGACCGTGGGACCAAGCGAGGGCAAAAAAGAACCAGCTTCCCTACCCGACGAAGTAGTAAATACCAAAACTGTGTTGAGTTTTAAAATATACCTGGAAAAGATCATCAAGGCAAATGGGGGGGGGGGGGGGACCTTTGATAATTCCTTTCCTCGTTGAGGTCACTAGGTTTAGTGGCCCTCAGATAAATCGGGTAAATATGTATTCATGTCACTAGCATGAGTTAAATGTTTATTTTTTGAACATAAAACATATTGTTTTGCTGTTATTACACTATATACACATATATAACTGGTTAGCAGACCATGTGTTTTGTTAGGCCACATGTTTAGTTAGCAAGCCTGATGTTTACTTAGGCCACGTGATTAGTTAGCAAGCCTGATGTTTACTTAGGCCATGTGTTTAGTTAGCAAGCCTGGTGTTTAGTTAGCAAACCTGGTGTTTAGTTAGAAAGCCTGGTGTTTAGTTAGCAGGCCACGTGTTTGGTTAACAACACACGTGTTTGGTTAGCAAGTCACGATCTAGATTTCTGTGGGGAGCCCCTACGGCTCCCTGGAGCTTATCAGGCTAATGTATGTTATATTAGACCGGGACATTAGCTAAGGAGTTCAGACCTACCAGGGACCAGCGCCAGAACCAGGGCCCTTCAAAGAAGTTTCAGGGAGCAAAGGCCCTGGAAAACCCCCTTGTGGTTGGGGTTTTCCTTATCTGCCATTGACCGGGGTTAGGCACCCAGAAAGGTAGGCATTACAAAACAAACCCCACATGGTAAAAAACTAAAACATAAAACCGAACAGAGAGGTAGAAACTCCCTACAATCCTACAATCTCCCTATAATCTCCGTACAATCCCAAGGAAACAAGCAAACAAGCAAACATCACACTTTAGTGCCTTGCCGATCGTCCATGCAGCCCTCCCCGCCTCGATAGGGGAAAGGGGGAGCCCCGGACCTCACCACGCCGGCTGCCTAGCATCAGTTCGGAAGCTAATGTCAACCAGGATAGACGCTTCTCTGGCCTCAGTTTCCTAGGCAGTGTTTGCCTTTCGTGGCGTTCACTGCCGTGTGTTGTGTTGTTCAGTGGCTAGGTGTTCCTCATCAGTACTGGGGCTGCATGTGCTTAGGGCTTCCTTCCCTAAGCGCCCTGTGAGTACTGCTCCTGCGTGACAGGGTTATCTTCCCTGGGGCGTTCGGGAACCATTCCCGTAGAGGTTCTTGCTGCTCAGCATTTGCCTCGCCCTTGGGGCCAGCTGGGGCTTGGGGCTCCTTGTTTGGCCCTGGGTAGAGTCTTGTATTGTGGTGGTTAGGGCGTCAAGGTGTTGCGCGACCTGCCACCTAAGCGGCAACTGGTTCCTGTTGCCTCTGGGGATGGTGTACTTTTGCAGGGTTTTTCTTTTTTTATTTTCATTTGCCTGGTGGGGGTCTGCCTATTGTGGCTATAGTTCCACTGGTAATGTTTGGTGGCCCTCTGCTATGCCCCCGTGGTTGTACACGTCGCAGAGGTTTTCAGTGTTGTCCTCTACCCCGTTGTTAGTTTTGAGTTTTAACCGGTTAGCAACACCTTGCCCAAACTTCCTGTGGTTGTTACCCTACGGGCCCTGGAAAAACCTGTCTGGGCACAGTGGACCATTGAATGTGTCTTCGGGGTTCCAACCTGTCTTGTACGGGTTCGTTGGTTGCTGTGCCCTTGTCTCCGGGTGACAGTCGCCACTTTTACCTCCATCATGTTGCCTGTTGGGTCCCTGACACCTTGACCCGAAGTCTTGCGAGAGATATTCTCTGCTTGTTCTCCAGTACTCTCCTGATGTTATTACTGTTCAGAGTACAGGCGGCATCCGTGTTGCAAGCTAGGTTAGGTTGCTACAACATGTTAGGTTGGTTTCCCACTTGGATGCCCCAGGGCTGCCCCATTTTGGTTAGGTGCTGTTCACCCCTTTCCCTCCTTGTTCCTGGCTCCGGACCATTTGTGGGTTTCGGGGTCAGGGCGGGGTTTAGTTGGGGGTGAGACTCGGGCGGTTTCGGAGGCTGTCCCGTTCAGATTGGGGACGGAGGTTTTCGAGCCTGTTCCTCCTACCGAGGCTTCTGGGTCTGGGTCTTCTGACTCACCCACATTCTCCTCCCAGAATACTGTTTTTGCTTTTATTCACTATATACAGATGCTATATATAAGTATCTATATTCGTGTTCACCATAACGAACCACTAAGTTGGTATACTGAGTGGCAGTGGCAGCCAGTGGCAACCCGCCACTGGCTGCCACTCCCTCCCTCCCTCACTTCACCTGACTTGCCACCATTCTCCACCCACCATAATGTTTTTGCTTTTATATACAGACGTTATATATAAGTATTTACATGTTTTGTTCACCATAACTGTACATCTAAGCTTGTATGGTTAATAAAGGCACAAAGACGTAGGACCTCACACAATCGGCTGGCTGCCGCCCTCAAGGCCAGACGCACTAATATTTCTCCTCCAACAATACTGTTTGTGGTGTTATTATGCTATATACACACATTATATATAAATATCTACCTGTTTTATTCACCATACTTGTACAAGTAAACTGGTATGGTGCCCAAAGACTATCGTGTTCACCGGTAAACAACATAAGTCGTGCAGACGACGCCACCGCCCTCACCAAAATGGCAGCTCCCAACCTACTCCTCTTGCTGTTTATACCCCTCTATACACACGTTATATATAAGTATCTACATTTGTGTTCACTATAGCGAATCACTAAGCTGGTATGGTGAGTTCAGTCAATAAAAGGTAGCCACACACAGTCAGAAGACAACGTCACTACCCTCCCTCCCACAGCATTACTCCTACCTCCATGCAGCACATCCCTAAATATCACCACAATCCTGCTATTATCAGAACCCTGGTCAGTTTTATCACAGTCAGGGGTCTTCTGTAATAATATCATTGCTAAATAATAGCAAGAACATGTATATTATGGCATTTTTAGGCGATGCTGTGGTCACAAGCTGAACAGCAGTGCTGTGAGCTCATGCTGCTTGCATCAGGCTTGGTAGCTCACTCAATACTGAGGCCCCTAGCACCTGGGAATTTGGTCCATGATTTAAAAAAAAATGGCGTCTGTTTACAAGAGCCCTGATGAAGGTGTGGTGAACCCCGTGTATCCGTGGGCCGTTTAAATCTTGCGTCCAAACCTCCAAAGCATCACATGATGCGACGCGCAATTAACTGCAGGTCAGTCAAAGCATTATATGATGCGATGCACAATTTAAGGGTTAATAATCCCCTGCTCTCTGCACCTCTGTGATTGGGACAAGTTCTGGTCTCTCATTGGTCATATTGGACTCATGCAACTGATATGACCCAGTAGTGGGGAGCTATCTCAGTGTAATACCTTCAGGAAGCCACCAGGGCTTTACCAAAAAGAGCCATTGAATTACATTCAATGCTAGTTTTTGATTATGGACAGCTGATCTCTGATGGTGAATTTTAGGCTTAATTAATTATCTGGTGACTCTTTCAGCACAACATGACCCTGCAGGAGGGAGCTTGATAATTCTTTGCAGTGTCGTGGTATTATGTCCCCACTGGCTAACTTCACTATCTAATGTCTTAAGACACTGGAGGCTTTTTTCTGAGGAAGCAGTTGAACAATATGCCCCCAATAATTAGCTTTTCATTATTTCTCAAAACTATATTTTTTCTACAGGAACCTTATTATTATGGTGGTATTGGTGCTGATGTTGTAGAACTCATTCGACAAAATACCGAAGGCACCGAGCTCTCCTTTAATGGATGTTTGAGAAACTTCCGCATGAATAACCAGCGTGTAGGTGGTGCACATGAGGCTTTCCACCTTGTACGCTGTTCTGCAAATGTAGAACCTGGAATCTTCTTTGGAGATGGACCTCGTGCTAATGTTATACTGCGTAAGTTACAACATTAAAGTTTTTTATTATATCATATTTTTTATCAAATCAAATCAAATCAAATGTTTATTCAGGCAAAAGTACATACATAGATGATTAGTTACAAACATAATGTTGGATTTATAGAAAGAGCTAGTACATACAATACCTAAAGCCACTAGTACGCATAGCGTTTTGGGCAAGGTGAGGTGGGGAAAAAACACTTAGACTAAAACTTAATAGTAATTGAGCTTAAAGTATAAATTGTGTTGAAAGAAAAAAAATATAAGATAAAAAAGGGGCAGAACATGGTAGAAAATAGCCAATATACAAGTTGGTCAACAAACAGCATTGTTTAAAAATAGTAAGACATGGGTTGACATTTAGGGATAAGGTAGGTTACATGGAGTTAATTAGGTAGTACTGTACTTAGTTTTCATCTTAAACTGGTTGAGAGAGAAGTACAGCCTTTGACATGACTGGGAAGGTCATTCCACATTCTGGGTCCCTTGATTTGTAGAGCATTTCTAGTTTGATTATGTCGTACTCTTGGAATATCAAATAGGTATTTGTTTCTGGTGTTGTGCCCATGGGTTCTGTTACAACATTTTAAGAAGCTTTTAAGGTCAGGATTAACATTACAATTCAGAGTTTTAAATATATATAGAGTACACATGAGAGGATGTGCAGTGACTTAATATCTAACATATTCAGAGATTTGAGTAAGGGTACCGAGTGATGTCTGGGGCCAGAGTTAGATATTGTTCTAATAGAAGCTTTGTGTTGGGTAATTAGAGAACGTAAATGATTTTGGGTAGTAGAACCCCAAGCACAAATACCATAGTTGAGATAAGGATAGATAAGAGAGTAATAGAGTATCACCAGGGCAGGGCGAGGAGCATAATATCTGATCTTAGAAAGAATGCCAATAGTTTTAGAAACTCTTCTGGGGGAAGCTCCGTCAGCTCCCCGGAGCTATCCCAGCTGATAGCATCCCAGCTGGAGCATCCCAGGCTGATATGCTAATGTCAGACTTTGGCATCAGTCATGTGTATGGAATTTTTAGGCGTACCGGGGACCACGGCCAGAACCGGGCCCCCCCTCAGAGAGGCAAGGGGAGCAATGGCCTATAGAAATCCCTGTGTGGTTGGAAGCATTCTATGTCTGCCATTGACCAGATCAGGCACCCAGAAATGTAAGCGCCCCAAAACAAACCCGTATTCTGGTTAAAATTGCTACCAAAAGCTGAACTAGTGGATAGAACTCCGCAATAGAAAACGAGCAAACTAGTATGACGTCACACGTCGCCGCGCCGCTTTCTGCGCAGCTCCCCCCCTCCCTGAGAGGGAGAAGGGGAGGGGGGAGCTGCGCAGAAGCTTCACGCCAGCTACCCACACCTCAGTTCTTGAGGCTGATGCTATAGGCGAAGGTCGTGTGCTCTGGCTCCAGTGTCGCTACAGTACTGTGCTTCATGTGTGGTGTTTGTTTTCTGTGGATACGAGAGCCAGGAGTTATCTTCAGTACTTGGGTTGCATGTGCCTAGGGCTGCCTTCCCTAGGTGCCCTGTAAGTACTGCCCTTGGGGCTTGGGGCCACCTTCCACAGGCTCCTCGGGACCTGCCTCTGCTGGTTCATTCTACCATGCGGTTTTTCGGCTGCCTGTTGGGCTCTTGGGTGTTCTGTTTTCCCTTGTTACCTGCGAGTAAGAGGCAGTTTGCACTGGTCGGGGCGCAGGGTGCTGTGTAGTTTTGTATTCCCGACATAGCTGCCAGCTCTGTTCCTTGGGGTTCGTTGTCCTCTTGCAGTGTTTTGTTTTTCTTTTTCTTTTTGCCTTGTGGGGGCCCTATTATTTCACTGGTGTTTGCCCTTCCATGGTTCTCCTCGGTGGTGCCCCCTGCTAAGTCCCCGTGAGTGTACACATCCCTGGGGTTCAGCTATAGAGGTTTGCTCGGTAGTTTTGGGCGCCAGTTAGCTGCACCCTGCCTGTGACTACCTGAGCGCAAGTCCTCTTAAAGTAGATAATCAGGGCCCTGGGAATTCCCTAGGGGGCGCATGGGTCCGATGGATGTGTCCCTGGAGTCCCCGCTCGCTGTGTGCGAGTTTGAGGGTTGCTCGGTCCCCTTGTCTCGGGGTGACCCTCATTGTTTTTGCCTCCGCCTTGCTGCCTGTTGGGTCGGTGATACTTTTGACCCTGAGTCCTGTGAGTGTTGCTACTTGCTTGTGACTCAATTTACCCAATCCTCTGATGATTCTATTCGGGAACAGGCGGCACGTGTGTTGCAAACTAGGTTTCGTCTGTTGCAACGCGCTCGGTTGGTTGCTCACCCGGATGCCCCAGGGCTGCCCTGCTTCGATCCTGGTTCACTCCGCACCTCCTCGTCCTTCCCCTCCTGTTGTTCGTTCTGGCCCCCCCCCCCCCCTCTGCTTCCAGCCCTGAAACGTCTGAGGGTTTCGGAGTCGGAGCAGGGGTTACTTGATCTCGAGACTCGGGCAGCTTTGCGGATGCCCCTATCGGGGGGAGGGGGGGGGGGCGGAGGCATTCAAGTCTTGTGTCTCGGCCGCAGCTTCTGGGTCTGTCCAGTGGGCGCCCTTTCTTCTGGCTTCTATGGCTGCTCTGTCCTTGTCTTGTGGGGTTGGTGCTTGGGGAGAGGACTCGGTCCCTGGTCCTGCTATGAAGGACCTCGAGGCTGGGGAGGGGCTGACTTGGGGGGCCTTGGGTCCCGCTGGACCTCGCCTGGGTTTTTCTTCCCTCTGAGCGGGGCTTGTTGTTACAAGGAGTGGGGTTTTCTTTTACCCCCTCTGCATATGAGTTGGATTTGGTGTCGGCCCCTCCCCGGGTTCGGATCCATGTTTTCCCGGGTGCGTTGGTTCCGTCTTTCCGGAGGTTTTTGACTTATTGCATCCAATCTGGTGTGGTGCAGGCGGCCCTTGCAGCGTACCTCCTGTGTGACCGGGATTATGCCTCGGAAATGGATCCGTCCGAATTCAGGTTTGGGACTTCGTTCCATTTCTAGCTCCATTAAGAAGTTCCGTAGTCTTCCTGGCTAGCAGACTGCCCCTTGTTTGTTCTTGATTCCTGGCATTCCTTCTGTCGTTCCTGCACGCTGGAGTGGCGGGAAGCTTCCTCAGTGATTCAGGTTTTCCTGGGAGGCGATCTTGAGTACCTGAATGAGTGTTCACTGTTCAGCTCCATGTGCAGGTTCCCTCCCTTTCGGCGGCACTTGTGGCAGAGGACTTGCTCGGCCGGGGCCTTTTGGCTTCAGCCTTCCGATTCTTTGCCCTCCTGGAGCTGTCCTCGGATTGGCTAGTGGAGGACGTGAGGGTGCTTGGGTCCGTCCCAGGGTCCGGCGCCTTGTCCTCGGTGGCGCGTTCGTCGGCTGCCTTGTTGAAGCTTTTCACACCGATTTTGCGGGATGCAGCTTCCCTGTTTTATTCTTGCCATCTCGCATGTCGGCAGGCGGTGCTGGATTCCTCCATGGAATCTGCTTGGGCTCTGGCTCTTAGGTTTTCGTCACCTTTTTGCCCTCTTCTGTTTGAGGTGTCGGCCGTGGCGCAGTTTATCCAGGCTGCGTCGTTGGCTTGTCGTCCAATGTCGGACTTGTTGGTTTTCCGGAGGTCATGTGGTGGGTCTTTCCGGAAGGGTCGAGCCAAGGCTCGGGGTTCCTTTCCTCTCATCATGGTAGGCCACTGGTGTCAGGTTTGGGTTCGGCTCCTGCTTTGGACCCGCCCTCGTCTGGTCGGTGCGGTGTTTGCTCTGTGCTGGGTTCAGGGTGTCGTAAGGGGTGCCGGCCCTTTCGCAGTTTGCCCCATTGACGGGGCGATGGGGAGGAGGCTTGCGCTGTTCGCCCACGCCTGGTCCCACGATTCATGGGCGTTTCGGGTCATGTCTGTTGGCCTGCAGTGGCGTTGGGTGGCCCCCCCCCCCTTTGGGGGGGTCAGGGCTGGCTGGGCAGGTTTCTTCCCCTGCGCTCTGTCAGGTCATCTTGGAGTGGGTTCGCTTGAGCGTCGTCAAAATGACGTCGTCCCCTCAGATGGGTTTCCCGTCTGTTTCCGGTCCCGAAACGGGACTGCACCGACCTGCGGTTCATTCTGGACTTGTCCCGTCTGAACTCCTAGGTTCACTGCCCCTTCTTTTGGATGACTACGCTGTCTCAGATTCAGCTCTTCTTGGAACCGGATGCTTGGATGGTGTCCCTGGACCTCCGGGACGCTTATTGGCATGTCCCCATTCATCCGAGGTTCCGGGACTGGCTCGGTTTTGTTGTGGAGCATCTAAGTTATGGCTTTCGTTGTCTCCCATTCGGGTTGAACCTGCCACTTCGCATGTTCATGCACCTTACGTGGGTCGTGGTGGCCCGTTTGTGTCTCTTAGGTGTTCGGGTATTGGCCTACTTCGACAACTGGCTGGTTTGGGCTCCCAGCCGGTCGGCTTACTTGCTAGCCAGGGATTGGTTCTTTCCCAGCTCGCCGGGTTCGGCTTCTTGGTGAATTGGATGAAGTCCCGTCTAGTTCCCTCTCAGGTTCGGACTTGGCTGGGTCTCGTTTGGGACTCTCAGACTGCTTCCTTGTCTATCCCTCCAGAGTCCCTCCTGCAGCTGCAGTCTTGCCTTCGTCTGTTTCTGGTGGGCCCTCAGGTCACCCAGCAGTTGCTCGAGGGGCTGTGTGGGAGCCTGAACTTTGCAATGGTAGATAGTCTACCCGCAGGGTCGGGTTTGACTTCATCGGCTGTTCTGGTTCCTTTGGGGTCACCCCTTCCGCCTCTCTCACGATCGCTGGGTTCGACCCCTGGGGACCTTGCATCAGCTGCTTTGTCTCCGGCTTCCTCTTCGGGTTTTTTGGGATTCAGTGCCTTGGTGCCTACCCGAGCCCTTGTTCGATGTGTACATGGATGCATCATCTCTCGGCTGGGGTTTTGTGACCAGTGCTCACCAGGCCCACCAAGGGTGTTGGGGTCCATCCTGCCGTCGAGCTCACAGCACAGTGCGGGAGTTCGCAGCGGTCTGGTTTGCTCTTCGGAGGATT